TGGCCTATGAGGACTCAAACGCTGTGAAGCGTGGACCACAGCTTGGTACACGTTTCCTAGCGTGGACCATTCGTGGTCCACTTTTCCTAGCGTGGACCACTCGTGGTCCACGCCACGAATCGTAGCGTAGACCATTCGTGGTCCACGTTTTCTAGCGTGGACTATCGTGGTAATGCAGGAGGTTTCGTTCCCTTGTCCCCGCACGTACTTTTTCCATGCTTCCATTCAGTTTTGGGACATTCCACGTGAATCTAACGAAGGTTTGGGATCGAGGTCCTCAGACTACGACCTAGTTAGTTGGTATCAATCGACTCAACATATCGGCTCTTAAGTCACTGTTTTTTTGTTTTTTTTTTAAATTTACACTGTTTGGTGTTTGTGGCAGTTTTAAGGTTTTATCACTTAGAATATTGTCAGGATATTGTTTTTTCGAATTTTGTTCAAGTAGGTTGTTGGTGTGTTAGGGAAAGTGGTTTATGACCGTCTGGCAGCCCGTAAGAGTGAGTATCAAACATGGTGATTGGTGAGTTTGGGTGAAAATTTGTCAAAATTCGTCATCCTTAAAATACGTTATCATGAGTTTGGCCCAATTTTTTTCTTCGACTCCTCCACTAAAGATTTAACTCCCCTTTAGAGGATTTGAGTTTCGGGTTTAGGAACCTAAAATAACATGGTTTTGGCCTTTGTTTGTGTATCTGGACAAATTTATTAATCAACTCCCATAGATTGCATCCTAGCTCATCATCATTGCATATGAAAAATTATTTTTGCCTTGTTGAAACGAGTTCAGTGATATCCAAAGGTGCCAATTATGAAAGTATACTCAATAGCCGCTCAAACTCCAAGCGCTAGAATTTTGGAAACGGTCAAAATTGACATGTTTGCTTATCTATGGATCTATACCAACAAGATGAACAAAACTTTTTCATGTGCCATGAGCAAGGACGCAAATCTAAGAGAGTTGATAGGAGCAAAGTCAACTAAGACGGACCACTTCTTCCAGCGACCCTCTCCGATTTGCCTGATTTTTTTGTAGGTTTAATAACTAACTAAAGGAGAGTCTAAAGCCAAAATATTAGGTCCGGCAAAAGTTTATTGTCCGAGATATGGCCAAGTTTAGTTTAACTGTTGAAGGACAAACACGAATTTGGGTATTTAGGACTAATTTTACACTTTTTATAGTAGAGGGCTTAAATTTGGTCAGTTTCTGAAGAATTGGCCAATGAACAAGAATAAGACTTCATATTTGACCTCCGACGAATACCTTTAGAGCAAACCGCCCAAAACACCCCCGAAACACCTAAAAACAACTGTTTTTTCTTGGGGTTTCTGGGAAAAATTTGTGGAGAAAAACTTCTGATGACCTTATTTTGTAGAAAATGATGCGATGAATCGAATGAGACCACGCATAGAGTCGTATCTCAAACCGTTTAGGAGATGTAGCGGTTCAAAGTATCGGCACGGTAGTCCGCCCGCCCAAGAGGCGTGTTTGGCGGGCCTGCCTAGTCGGGTTTGTGCAGGAGCTCTACCGTGCCGATACTTAGAACCGCTATATCTCCTAAACGGTTTGAGAGACAACTCTGTGCGTGGTCTCATTCGATTCAGCGCGTCATTTTCTTTAAGATAAGATCACCCACTTACACCGAGAAGGCAGAGAACGTCAAACAATGCTCCAAACCTGCATTTTTTAAAAAAATAAATGGCAAAATTTGCATACTTTGAACCGCTATATCTCCTAAACGGTTTGACATAAAAATCTGCGCGTGGTCTCATTCGATTCATCGCATCATTTTCCACAAGATAAGATCATCAAAAGATTTTTTCCCACAAATTTTTCTCAGAAACCCCAAGAAAAAACTGTTGTATTTAGGTGTTTTGGGGGTGTTTTGGGCGGTTTACTCTCAAGGTATTCGTCAGAGGTCATATTTGAGGTCATATTCTTGTTCCTCGGCTAATTTTACAACAAGTGATCAAAGTTTAGCTCCCTACTATAAAAAGTGTAAAATTTGTCCAAAATACCCAAATTTGTGTTTTTCTTCAAAAGTTTAACTGAAGTTGTCCATATCTCGGGCAATAAATTTTTGCCGGACCTAATATTCTGACTTTAGACTCTCCTTAAGTTAGTTACTAAGCCTACAAAAAAATCAGGCAATTCGGAGAGGGTCGCGCTGAAAGAAGTGGTCCGTCTTCGTTGATTTTGCTCTAAGGAAGTTTGCCCAGATACATGGAAAAAGAGCTCAAAAACAGGTAGGGGCCACTCAAACCATCTGAAGGGAATATGCGAGGAAATGAACCTTTAGTGGAGAAGTCAGGAAGAAAAAAAGCAGGGATCCTTAACTTAACTCAACATTTAACTAACATTGCTGTCATAACGTAACATAAGACAATGTTCGCTATAGGTTAAGGGTACGGACTTATGAAAGTACTTGCAAAAGTATATCCACACAAATTCGAGACATAAAAAAATTACTTACCCTTTTGAAAAGATGTTAGAAGTTAAGGGTAATAACTTTAACTCTTATGATAACGTTATGATGCACTTATAAGGTAAGTTAAGGATCCCTGAAAAAAAGTTGATCCATATCCATGATAACGTATTTTTGGGATCATGGATTTTGACCAATTTTCACCCAAATTCACAATATTTAGTACCCTAATGGGCTCCCAGATGGTCATGAAACCACTTTCAATGTTTTCCCTATCATCTTTAACCCTTACAACCACTTTTAGCAAAGCAAACCAAAAAAACTTATTACCTGGCAATATTTTAGGTGATGAAACCTTAAAACTGCCACAAAAACCAAATAGTGTTAAATATTATCCAGAAAACAATTTACATAGTGACTTGGGGCCGACAACTTGTTTCCTATTATGAGGAGGACGCCGCGCCTTGCGGAGTGGGGCGGAGCACCACACACAACACTGCAAAGCCACTGGTAAGTTTACTTGCCACGAATTTGGCAAGCCGTTTTGAATGCCAAAAATTGGTAAGCTTGGCCCGGAAATCCTCCCCAGCTTGCCAAAATCTGGCAAGCTTATGAAGATTGCTGACCAAAGCTTGCCAAATTTTGGCGCTCAAAACGGCTTGCCAAATTTGTGGCAAGTAAACTTACCACTGGCTTTGCAGTGAACCTGCTCATTTCATGGCTTTGGTATACCAACTAGGTTGAAATCCGAGGATCTCGGTTCTAAACCATCGTTGGATTCACGTGTATTGTCTCTTTTGCAATTGCATCACCGGTATTGTTATCCTCCGTTTTCAAGCGTAGTCTGTTTACGCATGGTTTATGCTAGGATTCAAGCGTAAGAGGCTCCTCCGCCAAGATTCCCCCTATCTTAATGATTGGGAGAAAGGATAACGTTTTCGAGAGTAAGGTCTGCGCCTGACTCAAACATAGAGGTAGAGGTAGGTTATCAGTGGTCTTATATAAGCCCTTTCCTCCAGGGAAACGTGCTGCCGTGGTCTGGTAGCAAAGGGATACTTTTTATATCCACAGACACTTGATGAAGCGCCAAGTATCTTTCTTTGGAAACCGTGAATCCATTTCTGGAGAACCTAGCGTCGACTACTCCGTTCTTGTTGCCCAGCCGTTAAAGTCCCTCCTCTTTACGGCTGCAACTACAGCAGCAATGCTCCGCTGGTCCCCGCGCGCCCCATCAGGATCAGATGGAGAGGCTATGCGTCTGGTGGTCAGTAAGTCCGTGCAGTCAAGTTGAGGAGTTGTCAGAGTTACCAGTAACCAGGGGGTGGAAATGGGGCTGATTTCGCGGGCCTTGGCTGCGGCGATGCGTGCACGGCCGTTTTCGCCGTTTTCACCGCTTTACCGCGTCAGTTAGTAAACCACCATTCGAGCTGAATTAGTCGTCTTATAAGACTAAATGTTTTTGTACAAATTTTGTACGAGACATCACTGTTTTTAGTGCACACGAACTTCTCGTAAAAATTTGTACGAAATTTTGTACAATTTTGTACGAAAAAGGCAAAACATGTGTAGTTTTTTCGTACGAAAACTGTAGGAAAATGTGTGCACAAAAAACTGTGATGTCTCGTACAAAATTGTACATAACATTTAGTGTGTACCTACAAAACCTCAACGCGTACTGAAGAGAGCAAGGTTAAAGGATCAGGAAATAAGCTCCTTGGGCCGAATCGATACTTACAAAATAAGATTTTCACAGTTTTGAAACTTGTTTACACTTTTTGTGGCGTTTTCGAGCCAGATCGCCGCGCCCGAATGCGCACACTAAATGTTTTTGTACAAATTTTGTACGAGACATCGCAGTTTTTTGTGCACACGAACTTTTCGTACAAATTTGTGCAAAAGTTTGTACAATTTTGAACAAAAATGGCGAAAACTGTGCAGTTTTTCGTACGAAAATTGTACGAAATTTTCGTGTGCAGAAAAAACTGTGCTGTCTCGTACAAAATTGTACATAACATTTAGTGTGCGGACGAGCCAATTAAGACAAATTACAAACATGTCAATGGCTCGTCCTGTGGGTATCAAATCTTCAATCCGGGCTCATTTTTCCGAAGAGACAACATTACTCTAGAAGTGCACGTCCAGGATTTGTGTATAAGATGTCTACTTTTGCTAGAAAGTGGGTTTCCAGGAACCACGAAAAAACAACAAACAACGGCCGTGCACGCATCGCCGCAGCCATGGCCCGCCAAATCAGCCCCGTTTCCACCCCCTGCAGTAAGAGGCCTCAGAAAATCAATTTTTCCAGTTGTCAGAGAAAACAAAAATTACTCATAAAATATGAACTGTGCATATTTAGGGCATATAGACTAATAAGGACTACCTTTGACAAAAAAATGCAAGAAATCGTCATCGGTCGTGAACCAAGATCGGACTTGGTTACAAAAAAAAAAGTCTCTGTCAAACGTCCTGAATGCACTGGTACTCCAAGTGTGGGACAGGCATGCTCAAAATGGAGTTCGGTCGGCACGGTACGCATGGAAATTACATTCTGTCACATACTTCATTCTGTTTTAGCTTATTTACGTCATCGCGAGACTAAATGTTGGACCTCGAAGACTGTCCATTAACGTCTCTCCTTCTGGAATGGCAAAGGTACCTGAGTTTCACGTCCCCCGTGGATGATACTCCGCCTTGGAATACAATTGCCATCTACCAAGGTAACTACAGTTCGTCGGTATACTTATGGATAAGCTGTATCCTCCGCATTTTAGGGCCAGGGCTGGGAATATTCGAACTCTACAGCAGCGGGGGAGAGAGCACACCCATATTTAAGAACGAATCGTCTCAGTTTGACACCCGTGTGATTGGTACCGTCGTAGACTGTGGCATGCTAGAATAAGGAAGGCTCAAATTAGGGAAGGCAAAGAATGAGCCGTATGATTTTTCCCCACCTCCAAGTTCGCGTTTCCCCGCACTGACCCCATACTAGTGTCACACAGTCACACATCTATGGCATTTCAGCAGACTGCGCAGCTGTTAAGAGTGAAATACAGGAAAAATTTCGAGGGGGCGACCATTTAAAATTTATTTTTTTTACACAGGATTCTTTGAAGGTAGAGATTTTCCAAGAATTCGCAGGATTTCGCGTCGAAAATATGCCAGATTTCGCGAGATTTTGATAGGATTTTGCTTGATTTTACCAGATTTCGAAGGGATTTCACAAGAATTCTACCGATTTCGCGTTAGATTTCGGCCAATCGTACACAGGATTTCGCGAGTGGTTGCCCCCTCGGAAAAATTGCTTTGCTTTAATAAGTTTGTCAGGTTTGCCTTAGACTAACTACACATTTTGGATGTCCAGGCGGCGTTTTATATCTCAATCATTGTATGGATCTTCTGGGGCCCAATTGAATTTACCGCGGCTGCCTTAAAAGGAACATCGCTTTCCGAAGTAATGGTAAGTTTATCGATTGGCACTATGCTTGTTATGTGCTGAGTGTGTCAAATCAAGAGTTGACCTACCCACGAAGTAGCAGCTATAGTTCCAGGTAGGTTTTTCTGACCTCCACACGCTTGAAACCTTCCAAAGTATTCTCAGAATATGTACACCCTAAACCTCTTATGAAGAAATTTTTTGAAGAAAATGGCGCGAGCTCAATTCAAAGGTAGTTTTTCTTCCTATCAGAAGATCTTTCGTTCTATCTTACAGTGAAAATTAATTTAAAAAAAACTCGTAGGGTATTACGAAGGAATCTTGCTTCAAATTATGCTTGCACGAATTCGCCGTCACATAGCTCAAATTTCATTGTAAGATATTTAGAGTGCAGGGGCAGGGTACAAACTATTTCTCAAGCTATACGAGGAAACAGTTTGTCAAGTACGAGGTATTTTCTTTGTAAGCCTACACTCCAAAGTTAGGGTGCCCAGAAACTGGGCGCCTTTGTCGCCCGCCCCACTTTTTAGGGAGCCAAATGTCGCCCAGTTTCTGGGCACCTTTGCCTCTCAATCTCGGGGTGCACAAATCATACAGTAACTGGTCCTCTCCTATGGTAGAGCATGCACAGGTGTCTTTATTCCCGGACGATGAAAGTGCCCAAATTCTGGGCACCTTTGGCACCTTGGTCGCTGCTGAGCCATGGTTGAAGGCAGGTTTCTTATTGTCCACCCTGAGACTAGGCGACAAAGGTGCCCAGAAACTGGGTGACATTTGGCACCCTAAAAAGTAAGGCGGGTGACAAAGGCGCCCAGTTTCTGGGTACCCCATATTTAGAGTGTATGTACGTTCAAAATACTTTGTTAGAGCAAGCTACTTCTGTTTGTCAAGACTCAAATCGTTCGTAAAGTTTTGCGAGCGCAAGGTATAAGCTCAGAATATAAAAATAGTAAGCGGTTCGTTGTTCACACTAAATGTTATGTACAATTTTGTACGAGACATCGCAGTTTTTTTTGTGCACAGGAACTTTTCGTACAATTTTGGTACGAAAAACTGCACAAATTTCTCCATTTTGTGCAAAATTTCATACAAATTCGTACGAAAAGTTCGAGTGCACAAAAAATTGTGATGTCTCGTAGAAAAATTGTACAAAAACTTTTAGTGTGTTGGACATCGCCCCCTCGCACACACATCTTCACTGTAAATGTCTTACGGTGAAAGGCTGCACCAACATAGTATGGTGGAGATTTTCTCCATAATACCAACGAAATTCGTCAAAATATCTATAAGGTACGGTGAATTCTCAATGGTATGTTATGAAGTCAGCTGCACCACCATAATATGGAACACTTTCACCATAATATGGAGACTCTTCACTGTTCCACATTTTGAGTGGTTACCGTCCTTTGCCTTCGAACCCACTCTGCCGTCGATTGTCTGGCGCGGCCCGTCACGACGTCAGCGACTGCGTACCGATGCGAGCTGAATGCGTGAGGCCGCTGTGGTGCGAGTGGCGGCGGGAGTACGTGCATGCTGGCTGGGCATTAGCAATGCACGCGGCCCCCTCGCAGTGCACGCACCTGGCACGCGCGCGGACTGGGGTCATTAATATTCGCAACGGTAGCTTCCACGGACGGCACTCATCGCGGAGACGTCTGCGCCAGCGATGCTCCGTCAATTCGCACGGCAGATCGAGTCGGGTAGGGCGATGGCACTGTGCCCTCGCAGACTAGCAGTGTGGGCAGCGGCTACGGCAATCGGTAACGCATGGGTGAAAGGACCTGCAGGAAATATAAAGTTTGAAAAGTAGAATTGAAACTAAAGTGGCCAAACCGAAGCTCTTTCTTACTTTTACACCGAGATTTCACTTTGAACTGAGAGGAAACTGGCAGTTGACTGCAGTTAGTTGTTCGAAGCCACTGGTGCTTTTACCAGGAACTCTTCAAAACTTCAGTTTTAGGGGGCACACCAGTAGAAATCGTCAAATTTTGTCATTCTTTTATTTTATATCTTATTTTTCTGCTATTCATCCCGCTTGTGTAGCGGGTGTGCCTACATAATTGCACCACATTTTTGCCTACCTCGCATGCGACCCTTTACCGAGCTGGGTCTCAATGGGTCCTTACCCATCTGCAACGGGTCCTAACCCATCTCCAATGTGTCTCAACCCATCTTCAATGGGTCTCGACCCATCTCCATTGGGTCACGACCTATTCGCAATGGGTCACGGCCCACACTCTCGTTCTAGGAACGTGACAAAATGTCACGTTCGTTTGAGCATTGTGTCACATTCGTTTGGGTGTGAATCGGCCAAAAATAAGTTTGTTCACACAACGCTCAAACGGACGTGACATTTTGACACGTTCGTTTCAACGTGGTGTCACGTTCCTGGAATGAGAGTGCACTCTCAATAGGTCTTAACCCATTTCAAACGGGTCTCAACCCATTTCAAACGGGTCTCAACCCATTCCAAACGGGTCTTAACCCATTCTCAACGGGTCACAACCCATGCCGAACGGGTGCCAACCCTTCTAAATGGGTTATAACCTATTGCTGCCCAATGGGTTTTGTCTGCTATGGCGGACTGGGACGAACTGATTCTAGAGATTTTTGCCCCCCGTCCCATCCACCCTTTTCCTAATTGTTCAGGAAGGACTGCAGGTGGCCAGCGGCTCATACTCAGGAATTTGGTGCCAATACCTAATGCGCCGAAGCCGCCTTCTACTCGTCGAAGCGACAGGCGACCTGGCTCGATGTTCCTACGTTCTAGAGAAAAATGGAGACCCCTCGACCAAGGTACTCCCTCCAGGTTAAAATGTTTTTCGTAGTGGAATCAGAATCAGTGAAAATTTACGTATTCTCAGATCAAAGTCATTTGTGGATCGCATGGGATTCCACAAAAATATCTCGCGGTACCTCAATGAAATGTCTTAAGCAAGAGGAATTCCTCTTGAGGGTCAGCACAACGTCTTCAGATATTGGCATTAACATTAATAAAACGAATGCTAGGATCAGATCGGCTCCCCCAATGTTTTAAGATTGAAGCATTTCCGAGCATTTCAAGACTTTTTAGAAACAACGACGTAATCACATGTGGAACATTTTCTTTTTTAATCCGCCTACTCAAGGCTGTGTTTCCCTGTGTGGACATTTTCGTTTGCAAATAGAACAACCTCCAACGGACTGCCCGTAGAAAGCTGTACCAGGTCTACTTTTACTTCGTTTACGGCATCGCAACAGTGTTCGGTGCCTTGGCGACTTTCATCACCATGCGAACGCATTGGACGGAGGCTATTATTGATTTGGGTGCACAGGTAAGGGTTTCATACATATTGAAGGCAGGGTCTGGGAGGACAAACTTTGTCTACTAAAATATTATCTGATTTTAATGTTATAAATACGGTTCCGCGAAAAGAGGCAGCATTTCACGAATAGTTTACTGTTTGCGTGATACAGACCGCAATTTTCAGCTGTTCTGGACGAGATTTCGCACAGACAAGCTTAAAACCCGTGATTCTGGCGTGAAGTTGGATAACTGCGATCAAACCGGAGGGCTTTAGGGAAGAAAACGGCTAAGAAAATTGCTTTCTGAACTTGTTTTTTGCCGCGTTGAGAAACTAAATTTTTTTTTTCGAAAAATATTTTTTTAGTTTGGGCCAGAATGACATTTATGCTGATGGTCCACATCCAATTTGAACCCGCAAGATGTCTCCGTTTGGTCCAAATCACGCAAACCAATGACCTGTGTACATACTTGTGTACAGTGCTTGGAAGAAATTCGGCGAATTAACCCGGGTTAACGGGTTAACCCGCAAAAGCTGCTACAGACGCCTATTAAAATATGCGATTACAGTATGAAGAGATACCATGATCAGTTTTAACGTCCATTCCGAAAAAAAAAACCATTGCGAAAACAGTATTTTTTGACCTTGCTTAGTGTGCTGCTCCCTTACTTCAGGCTGGTTTTTTAAAGTAGTTTTTCACTGGCAGCTGAAGCTAATAGTTGTTTTATGATCAGGTTTCACTAAAAAAAACGATTGGAGAGAACGTTAAAAGCTTGGAAAAATCTTAAATACATTAAAAACTCGTTATTCTGTGCACCAGTTTTGCACATCATACACTGCGAGAAAATAGTACAGAAAATAGTACGAGCATGTGATACCAATCAGTTTTAACGTCCACTGTCCAAAAAAAACTTCGAATTCCGTATTTTTTGACCTTGCTTAGTGTGCTGCTCCCTTACTTCAGGCTGGTTTTTTAAAGTAGTTTCACTGGCAGCTGAAGCTAATAGTTGTTAAGTCAGGTTTCACTAAAAACAAATTGGAGAGAACGTTAAAGCTTGGAAAATCTTAAATACATTAAAAACTCGTTTTCTGGGCACCAGTTTTGCACATATAACCGAAAATATAGTACAGAAAAAGTACGGAGCATGTCTGATCGAATTTGTTCCCTTGGGCCGTACCTGTGGCTACGGAACTTCGCACTCTTTTTCCGTACCCGATTACATTGTCTGGCCTGGGCCAAGGTACGGGTCGCTTTTTTCGGACGGTGCTTCGTAATTTTGGCGGCCGTACTTCCGACAAACGGAATTTTTGACAGTGTATCTAAATTTCCTTCACGATGTCTCGGCGATTGTACTTTTAAGACTTAATTGCCGCTATAGGCCTATAAACGGTTGGAAGTGTGACCGAAAACCTCTCACCTTAACTCGCCGCATTTTGCTGGAGTAACATTCGCACGCAGGATAAACGTCGGGTTACGGCGCCCGCGTATCCGCGTTCTGGCCTCCTGGGGCAACGCAAATAGATGAATTAAATGTACTTCTGGGTGTAAAAGCCACGAACGCCCTTTTACATCAGCGATTGATGCCCTTTGGAAAGGCATGGACTCAAGGCCGGAAAGCCTTAGAAGCATGCGCTGGACGGGGTGGGGCAGGTTGGGGGCGCATTTTAGTTGCTTCCCTGCTTTTCCACTTAATGTGGCGTGTTGTTTTTGTCGGCTCAGGCTGGAGTACAATTGACTGTCGTCATGCTGAAGGCACTCATGTTGCCGCTCCAGACAGTGCTGCTTTTTTCCGTGCTTATCACCTACTACTCCGCCCTTCCACTTTTCTTCATCTTGTACGGCTCCACAGCAGAGCTGCATCGCGGAATCGCAGTTGGCATCAAGGTAACAGTGAGAAACCGATGCGATGCAGCATACCTATGATCTCGCCCTTAACATAAAAGACGCTGCTTGTTTGCGTATGGTGGTACACGATAGCCGCGGATATTCGATCTCGCGACATTTCACGAAGCGGTAAAGTTGGCCCTCGTTCAAATGATCAAGATGGCAGCCTAGGGGCCGTACTTAAACCACGTTGACAGATTTTGGCCGATTTTTGACCCCCTCCTCCCTCTTGAGTATCGGCGTGGAATTTCTGAGGACCCCCCTCCCCTCTGTCCACGTGCATTTTTGAAAAAAATAGGAGAATCAGAAAAACGCAAGGAAAAGTGATTAAAACGTTAAATTAATTAAAAATAATTAACAATAGTATTAAAACGGCAAGGCGGCAGATGGACGGATAGTGGAGTAGTGACACACGACGCGGCCGAAAATACATCGCGCGGCAGTTTTGAATACTCGGAAGTGTCAACGTGCATCGGACATCAACCCCCCCCCCCTCCCCCGCCTTGGATTTCCGTGGATTTTTCGGACATCCCCCCCTCCCCCAAAACGGTCAACGTGGTTTGTGTACGGCCCCCTAGTCTCAGCGCAGTAATACTCCTGCATTAGCAAAAATCAATGAAGAGATAAATAACTGGACCTCACACTGAGAAAACCTTACGAACTATTTTGGGCCTTACAAAGAAAACCAGTTTATTATAACAAAGTATTTTGAGCAAACATAAAGAAAATACTTCAAAATTTACGAGCAGTTTCTTCGTATAACAAAGTAAATTAGTTTGCATCATGTGTACTCAAAATACTTTGTAAGGTTGCAAGCGTGCAATCTCTGGTAAGAGGAATCGCAGTAACGAGAAGAGCGTAAACAGGGACTTCCCTCGACGATTCATGATGCATAACTTGTGCAGCGTTTATTTTATTTATTTCTGGTTTCAAGAACGGCCACTGCACGGAAGGCTGGGCTGCGCTGCAGAGCCACCTGATTGCAGTGACCGCCAAGGTGCGCGTCGCCGTCGCGGACGTGATCCCGCACATGCTGGTCGTGGGCATCGTCCTGCCGCTGTTTTGCACCGTCGACGTGAGGATTGGACATTAGGCTGTGCACTCCGAATAGGGGAAAATAACTCCAGTCAAATTTTTACACGAACATTCATTAAACATGTAAAATTCACCAAATTGATTAGAATTAATCGAAATTTGACTAAAATTAATCGAAATTTGACGAAAATTCATCGAAACTTCATTGAAATTCATGGAAATTTGACTGAAATTCATTGGATTTGTACACCGAAATTTGCAGTGATTTCCCCATGACATGGAAGTGCACTGAAGATTCTCCTCTGTGAAAATTCTCTGAACTATACACACGGTGCGTTTATGTACTTTCATTGTCCATGACTATTGCCAGTGCATACGAAAGCTGTGTACAATTTCATTCACAAATAAGGGCCAATATCTCCATATTGTGCTTTATTATTTACAAACTTGTGCCTGATTTATGTTTAAATTTGTACATAACTCACATATGTATGCTAAACTTTGGCAAAAATTGTGGGAAAAAATGTCCAAAGGCATTTGGCGTGCAGTGGGGCATAAAAATGCAGCTCACATTTAAAAAGAAGATTTCTAAAATGGTTTCCTTGTGGAGACGAACTATTAATCGCTCGGAATGGTAACAAAACCCAACATGGTATTGACATGTATAATTTTGAAAAACAAAACTGGCCTGAACATTGCCCCTTAATGATTTGTTTATTCACGCTTAAAACCTTACGAAGTATTTTGAGCATACATAGTACAAAACAAGCTGATTTACTTTGCTATACAGAAATAGTTGCTTAAATTACGAAGTATTTTCTTTGTAAGCTTATCTATGCTCATAATACCTTGTTATAACAAGCTGCTTGTCTTTGTAAGGCCTAAAATAGTTTGTAAGGTTCTCTCAGTGTTCGTGGTTGACCGCTTTGTTCTTGTGCAGGTGCTAACGAACGGCCTCAAGGCGGGCTATTTCGCCATGTGCACGGCTCCGCTACTGTTTACGATTTTGGTGGCGTCGTTCGAGGCTGGCGAGAACGTCTCTGCTTCGCTGGAGGCACGACACCTTTGCCATTATTTCTTGCTTACGTCCCGTTCGAACAGCGGTGATTGACCCTGTTGCAAACACGGGAAAAAATTCCGTACTTCTGTACGGAATATGTAAAGAAGAGTATAATACGGAATTACGGACAAAAGCACGGAACGTCGGTAATTGTTCCATATAAACTCGTGTAAACGGGTACGGAGAAAAGAGGAAGTTCCCTGGTTGGGAGGTACGGACGGTCTAGGCAAAGTATTGACCAGACATGTTGCATACACTGCAAATCCAAGTGTGCACTGAGAAAAAAGTCTGGTTAAAAGTACCAGACCAATCCTAGTTAAACGAGTACTAGTCACTCATACAAGAATCCTAGTAACTCTCACCAGATGATCAGTTGCAGTAACCAGATCGGGTGTTGTGACATTTACCAGGTGTCTGGTTAATAATCCTGGTAAATTTTACCAGACTGTTCCGTAATTGGCACCATACGTAAAACTTCGAAATATTCGTTTCAATTGAAATGTTCGAGTGTCAAAAAGTAAACTGCAACCTGTTTCATTATTTTCGGAGTCTTAAATCCGAAAGAAACACTGGGAGTATTTCCCTGAGCCAGACACGTAGAGAGTCACCTGGTGGGGATCCCCTCGACCCACAGGCGACGTGGTGGCGCAGTGGTAACGTGCCCGTCTCACAAGTGTGAGATCCCGGTTCGAATCCGGAGGAGAGCACTGAGAAAAAAGTCTGGTTAAAAGTACCAGACCAATCCTAGTTAAACGAGTACTAGTTACTCATACGAGAATCCTAGTAACTCTCACCAGATGATCAGTTGCAGTAACCAGATCGGGTGTTGTGACATTTACCAGGTGTCTGGTTAATAATCCTGGTAAATTTTACCAGACTGTTCCGTAATTGGCACCATACGTAAAACTTCGAAATATTCGTTTCAATTGAAATGTTCGGGTGTCAAAAAGTAAACTGCAACCGGTTTCGTTATTTTCGGAGTCTTAAATCCGAAACAAACACTGGGAGTATTTCCCTGACCCAGACACGTAGAGAGTCACCTGGTGGGGATCCCCTCAACCCACAGGCGACGTGGTGGCGCAGTGGTAACGTGCCCGTCTCACAAGTGTGAGATCCCGGTTCGAATCCGGAGGAGAGGAGGCGGGAAAAAGACAATTCAGACGTTGTTCGTTAACGAAATCGACGTCACATCAGGTTTCATCACTACGAAAAAATATTTTATTATATTTTGGACTTCTTACTTCAGTTTTGTAAGCACATTAACTAACCAGGATGCTTGGTAAAAACTACCAGAAGGGGACCTGGCGGCATTGTGAGGATAACTATAAATCTGGTACGGTTTACTAGACTGAGGCCAACTAGACAGTTTAGTATTTTTTACCAGAATTCTAGTTGAGTTATATTCTATCAGACAGTCTGGTATTTGGTACCAGGATTCTGGTTATCGTTACTAGACTTTTTTTTCAGTGAGGAGGAGGGAAAAAAACAATTCAGAGGTTGTTCGTTAACGAAATCGACGTCACATCAGGTTTCGTCACTACGAAAAATATTTTATTAAATTTTGGACTTCGTACTTCAGTTTTGTAAGCACATTAACTAACCAGGATGTTTGGTAAAAACTACCAGAAGGGGACCTGGCGGCATTGTGAGGATAACTATAAATCTGGTACGGTTTACTAGACTGAGGCCAACTAGACAGTTTAGTATTTTTTACCAGAATTCTAGTTGAGTTATATTCTATCAGACAGTCTGGTATTTGGTACCAGGATTCTGGTTATCGTTACTAGACTTTTTTTTCAGTGTGAGACAGTCTCACACTATTTAGTGCGAACCACTATGTCTCACGCTTACAAGCGTGAGACACGACTTGTCCTACACTTACAAGCGTGGGTCCCCGTGGCACAGTGGGCTAAAACGCCCTTTTAGGCGCTCAAAACCTGTTTATTAAAAATCTTTTAATCGGGCAAACTTTGACGTCATCGGATAGGAAATTTTCCGCAGATTTCAAATCTGGTCTTATTTTTGTTGTCAGACCAAAACTACGACCACTACAGGCCGTCAAAGTTAAGACTTGTGATAATGTGTTATTTTTAGTAAAAAATGTAACAAAACGCCACAGCGATTTTGACGGCTTTGCATCTAGATTTTGAACCTCCGGTGGTTCCATTTTAAAGAACAAGTATTCCCGTTCAAAATTATACCCGAGTTATCTTCCTGCGATAATTTGAAGGGTGTTGGTGTGCATATAATCGATTTATTTGTATAATTTTTACTTGAAAAACAAAAGTTTGAGATCTACTATAGAATCAAGCACTATCAAGCAGGTTTCAGCGCTGGAAATTATCAACCTATGTGTCAATTGAAAGGATCAACAGAGAAAACCTGCGCATATTTGCGCAAACAGTAATACGCGGCTGTGGAACATTAAAAAATTGGCAATTTTCCCCTTTTTGATAGAAAATGCGTCTCAACGAAGAAAGAATCCAAGCAACCGTGTCTCCATCCCAACCGTCCCTTGTCTTTTCACGTGCTATTTGGCTCCTTTTCCCTAGCCACCCGCCCCTTCTCTTCAACTAACACTCAAGAAAAGGCCACCCGGAAGTGCAACAGAATTGATGGGAATGCAGACCTTCTGACTGCAATGTTGTTTCATCTGATTCTGTGATCAGCTCTTTCAGAAGAAAAAAAAACCTAAAGCCAAGTCTTAAAAACTGTGTGCCACAGTTCTTTCACTTTTAGTTGACCCCTTTGATGGACAGGCTGATGAGCCTGCCATGTTATTGTTCCATGAAGAGTTAAATGTTATATCATTTAAAAATTGGTTTTAGGAAATTGAAGTTTGACAATTGTAATAAAATCTGTAGCCATGATTTTTTACAGTATTGTTTTTAAGAACGTACATATAATTTAAGTGATGTTTTTGACTCCTTTTTGAATCCTTTTAGCAGTTTTCAATTGTTTCGTCTGAAATTTACATTTAAAAACACAACAATATGTTTTGCATTGATCTAGTGGAAAGAGAGACTGGTCCCGCAGACTCAGAAATATACAACATAAAAATACGATTATATTAAATCAATTTTCGGTGAACCACGGCTGAGATAAGGTCACACTTGCCGCCGCTTGTTCAAAATTTTATTAAGTAAGACCAAAAGAGGGTCTGTACGAAATTTGGGACATATACGATCAAAAATGGCTGAAATGTAGGTTTTGAGCGCCTAAAAGGGCGTTTTAGCCCACTGTGCGTGGGTCCTGTGGCGTTTAACCACAGGAAACCATAGACAGCAAGTGTGGGATAAATCAGGGATCCTTAACTTACATCACAAGGGCATCAAAATGTTATCGTACGAGTATAACCCTTAACTTCCAAATTCTTTTCAAAAGGATAAGTTATTTTTCTTGTGTCTCGAATGTGTGGAGGATACTTTTGGAAGTACTTACAAAAGTCCGTACCCTTAACCTTTAGCGAACATTGTCATATGTTACGTTATGAAAGCAGTGTTAGTTACATGTTAGGTTAGGCAACTCCCTATCCCTTATGCACTAGATGCATGCTTCAGTTAGCGTGTACATGGTATGTATGCACTAGTAAGTACATGCTTGGCAGGCATGCGCTAGCTACAGCGTGCTTGCAGGCATGTACGCTTTTCGATTTGTAGAGCACACGTTAGCGTGATAAAAAGTGGTTCGCACTGAAAAGTGTGAGACTGACTCACACTTCCTCTGCAAACTCAACAGTGTACTCAGTACACTCTAGTTAGAGTGTGCTCATGAGTACATTCTAACTTCAATTCAAAGGCGTTGCAAATACGTGCTAAAATCGACCTATTGGATTCTGTAGATCGGCCATTTCGAGTCTAAACCTATGACATATGGGTATGTTTCTTTTCATTTCGTTGAGACGAATCCATTCCCGTCGTCAGTTTTCCATTTCCACATATTTGATTTTTCGCCTTTTTATGTCAATAGTGCCAAAAATCATTGTATCTCATACCGATACGGAACTTTGGTATGTTTGAAGCTCAAACCTATCATTTCGAACGTGTGTTTAGGATGTGGGAAGACATTTTTTTTTGTTAACTTTGACAAGACGAATGCATCCATTTCTGTAAGTCAGTGTTTCTTTGGCCAAGTTTAGAAACTTCCCTCACAAAGTCTGCCCTTTACTGCCATGGCCTTTCAACGCACTGTGCTAACTACGGAAATCTCTGGGAGTCAAACAACGGAAAACGCCTGGATCTGAAATCACGGAAAATCCTATGTGTCTGAAATCACGGAAAATCCTGGGTCTCAAATCACGGAAAGTTCTGGCCATAAATTAACGGAGAAAATGTCCCTTTTTTCCCACAGTGCTCTAACTAGCGTGTACTCAGATGAGTACACACTTTCAGCTGCGTAAATTGCCAGGCGTGCTTAGGTGTGTACTCATCTGAGTACACACTAGTTAGAGTGTACTCATATGAGTACACGCTAGTTAGAGTGTACTCATGAGCACACTCTAACTAGAGTGTACTGAGTACACTGTTGAGTTAGTTTGCAGAGTCGATTTGAATGTACTTTTTCTGTTCCTCCAAGTGAAGACATTACTTGAGTATATGACGGGAAATTTCTTCGAAAGACATCATTGAGAGTGACTTGACCTTGCAGGGCTTCCCGACGCAAGCCTACTGGGGGCCTTGGCTGGAGGAGACGGCGGCGCGGCGGCGTTTGCGGATGAACCTCATGCAGGCCGCCTCGGTGCGCAGTACCCGTTTCCACGGCCGCACAGTAGGGGTGCTGAACCGGCGCGCGTGTCTCAAATACCTCAAGGGGTGGTTCCGCTTCCTTCAAAGCTTTCTCAACATCCACTCTCGTACCCCTTGACCTTCATTCGCGAAGCCAATAAACAGAACCTAAATACTGGCTACTTCATTAACGTCCTGGAAAGGAGCGCCTCGTCATGCCACTTTTAAACAAGTGTGTTGGAGGGGTTATTGTCGAAGGACAGATCTTTGTGGGGAAACATATTATCAGTACATTGCTATGGACAAACATTACCCAGTATCATTAACGTGCTCTTGGCTAGTAAATTCAGAAAAAAAAAACACATTGAAGGGCCCTATTTAAAAGATCTTACCTAGGCGCTCCCGCCAAGAGAGTTTTATTTGAAACGCAAGTAAATTTCACCTACCGTAAACCGGGGTAACTTGAGACAATATTTCACGTTTTTTGGACCGTGTGTCCACGAAACTTCTCTCACCAACCCGAATCCCAACTATGTTTTATTTCACATGATTACATTCGGTTTGGACCCCACGAATTTTTTGGGGGGTCTCCTAAAATGAGAGTAATGGGCGTCTAAAGTTGTCTCAAGTTACCCCGTCATTTGGGGTAACTTGAGACACCTAGTTTTTACTTTGCTTTTTCACGGAAGTGGGTTTTTGGCCAGTCCATACTGACTTTCTGAGACATTTAACTCATTTTCAATGAAAAGTACTACTTGTGGAATATATTAGAAGATTTTTGATCCTTATATTAAGATTTTTTTCATCAAGGTTACATTTGGTAATTTGAGGGATAACGGCACTTCAGAAGCGCAACGATTCTCCCATTTCACATCCATCTCGGTCAACTAAGTACAGCGATTCTCTCATTTCATATCCAACCCTGACACCTGTTAAGACATTTTTCTTTATTTCTACGTACACAAGTCCATTCCTGCAAAGGTATATAGTCTTAGTCAATTTTTAAAATTTACTCAAAATCCTTTAACTATTTTTACAGTTGTTTTTCTTCAAAAAATCGACGGTTCTTGGACTATAAGTTGTCCGATTTCAATGACATTTAGCTCTTTGGAAAGGTAATTAAATTCCCCATCTTTTGAGACCTCAAGATTTATTATATCTCATCTGGTCCGTGTGTAGTTGAGAAAACACTCTAACTTTAAGCTGCATATCCACTCGGGACCCTTAACACTGTCTAAAAAAGTGATTTCCGATCAAATGCGGCTTAGTTTTGATCGTAGAACGGAGAGGTCCGTTACTTTAAACCACCCTGTAATACAAGGAGGTGCCAGTGTCAAGTTACGCTACTCAACTTCCGTCAAATTCAATGAAATTTGGTGTCTCAAGTTACCCCGCACAGTTACCATTTTCTATAAAAGTCAGTATTACCCGATGAATGATGGGTTTTCCTCAAAACCAATGCTGCATTTAGAATGTTGAAATAATAGGGTTGAAATGTACTACATTCATTTGGGTCTCAGCAAGACGTGTTTTGAGTACCAAGGGAGACTTTAAACACTTCTCTAAAATTGTTCAATTTACTAAAATTGAAAAATCGTTATAGATCTGACCAGCTTGGTCCTAACCCGCCGTTCACACGCTTAATCGTCTTTCCAAACAAGTATGAAAGAAAGTGCTAGGGCAGTTTTGACCTCGGAATGTGCCGAGCCAGTTGGCAGCTCCAAAAAGGTGAAAAAGCAGAAGTGTCTCAAGTTACCCTTGCTGTCTCAAGTTACCCCGGTTTACGGTAATTTGATCATTTTGGACGGACACGATAGTAAGCGGAATGCATTGTTGGTTTCTTTGATCTTTCATCTGAATCACAAATTATATTAGCACGTAGCTGTATCAAATGATCAAACTCCGTGAAATTCGCCTGCGTTTTAGGTGAGATTCTTTTGGGGGGAACGCCCAGATAAGATCTTTTGAAAACGCCATTTTGTGCCCTGCAAAGCCGGTGGTAAGTTTGCTTCCCACACATTTGGCAAGCCGTTTTGAATGCCAAAATTTGGCAAGCGTTGGTCGGAAATCTTCCTAAGCTTTCCAAATTTTGGCAAGCTGGGGAGTATTTCCGAGCCAAGCTTGCTAACTGTTGGCATTCAAAACGGCTTGCCAAATTTATGGCAAGTAAACTTACCACCGGCTTTGCAGTGTGGCAAAGCATTATTGTTTCGGCGACCCTCTGACCCAAAGTTGGAAAGACTTTTTGTCTCGCCTCTAGAATAACGAGGAATCTAACATTTGGATGAGTAGTGCGCTTTTGACTAAAACTTCGATAGGGCGACGGTACCAAGACAAAATTTTTCCTCCTGCGCCCAGATACTGCAGCCTTGAGTGCGCAGATTAGGTGGCGCAGCTAGCTGATTGGCCTTATCTGCCCGCACTGCCATCGAGCGACTCAGCTGGACTTCATGTTCCACAGTGTCTCAGCGCTCCCACCAGCACAATGGACTGCGAAATTTGTTTAGAACCCTTCGATCTCACGGGGAAGAGGCCCAAGTCTTTGCCTTGTGCTCACAACACGTTTTGTTTGGCATGCCTCGGTCGCCTTCAAACACCAAGCTGTCCGATGTGTCGAACGGTGAGGTCTTAGTTATTCGGTGTGGACATTTGTACATTCGCTCTGCAAATGTGTACACATGTGCACACTTCTTAAGTTTGCGATGCAAGCTACTGTCTGCAGGCACTATGCTGTATGGAAGAATGTACGGGAAAGGTACGCGCAAACCTGTGTCATTTATGTGTGGGGCAGGATGGCCGCAAATTTGAGTGTACTTGTCTGCCGTGTATACAAACTTTTTTATAGCATATATTATGACAACCAGAACATCATGGGGATGAGGTTACCTTTACGTTAAATGGATCATGGTAAGGTCTCATGGAAGTTTTGGGATGGGCCGACAGTTCCTTGTGCATTCCGAACATAAACCCGGACGACGCATTCCCACGTGTGAGTGACTGGCATGTCAAACGTTGGCCATGACGCATTTCGTCACACGGTCAAAACGGTTCCTGGATATTCAAGTAAGCCTATGGTAGAGACATAGGTGATTTCCAGGGAGTTCCTGCGAAAACCAGGAGCTGTGCTGTTTCTTAACCGTGCAGGTGCCCTTTTGTCTCAAGCTTTCAGTGAGAGCGCTCGCGAGTCAAAATGGTTAAGATGAATGAGCATTCATTATAGTAGGGTAAGGTTACCAAACATGGATCACTTTTTAAATAATCTTCTCTATATCGAAATTAAGTATGGGTTGACTACTATTTTTGAATCCTATGTTGATGTTTACCTCACTGGTCGTATGGCTACCAAAAATGGTACCTCTAGCTCGAATAATTTGGAAGTTGTGAGGACAAGAAAATATGGTTATTTTTGCTAAGGTTAGGTTAGGGTGGTCCAATCATGGATCACCCCACCAGCGTTTGGACACAAAGCAACGTATGCATTCAGTAGTCCCAAAATATCAAAGTGGTCCGTCTAAAGTGCACGATGAAAAATTTTGAAGTGACTGCGGTGATTGCTTGGCCAAGAATCAGGGGTGCAAAAATCACCTTTTTGAACGTCATTTTTCCATCGATTTTCGGGGGCCTGTTTTAGGTGTCTTTCTAAACGCAACCCTGCAGAGTAGAGAGACGCAGTTGCAAACTTGTCAGATTCGCATCGAACAGTCAAAGGGTCAGTCTAAGCAAGGAAAGACAGAAATTTAGAACCTGGCCACCTGGTCTTTAGATATAGATCCATGTTTGGTACCCCGATCCATGTTCGGCACTTTACCCTAATAACTGCGGTTCCGATATGATGCATCACGAATGGTGAGCGTGCCAGATAAGGACTTCAGCTCCTATGCATTGCCCGTTTCGATATAGGACTGTACATATATCATGCTGCGTGTGTGTGTGGGTTAGAAAGTGTCCTTTCACTGTGGAAAAAAAATTAAAAGACATTTTAGGGGACGAAGCTAGTAGACTGCACTGAGAATCCAAACGTTATGAATGTAGCGTCAGTAGGTGCAGGTGCAATGCAAAAGAATTGCTAATGAAGCGCAATTCCTTCCCATTCCCATGCATGGGCATAGGACATTTTCGGGCCGCATTGCGCGTAAGGTGCAGTACGGCTGAGGCATTGTACCATACGTGCTATATTCATGGCGTTTGGGGCACAGAATGCGGTTTTGTTGTTTTAGAGCTTAGAAATCGATGAGTCATGCACTCTCATCCTTTGTAGATATTTCGTTTGTGTACCATTAACATCGTACATTTATAGGATTTCGTTCATAAGCTGCTGCATAAAAAGGTCAGTAAGTTTACACTGTAAAAATTAATGTCCGGAAAAAAAATTGCCAACGGTTCCTTCGTTAATTTACGAAGCTCTTCGTATATTTACAAAAACCTTCGTTTATTTTTTGAACGATCTCTGTCGATTTTACAATCACAATGGAAATTTACGAAGCAAAGATCCTTCGTTAATAAACAAAGAACCTTCGTTAATATACAGAGAACCTTCGAAATTATTCGTCTGGAATTAACGACGGATCCTTCGGCAAAAAAATTTCCAACAGTTCCTTCGTTTATTTACGAAGATCCGCCGTAGATTTACGAAGACCCGTCGTAGATTAACGAAGCCCGTCGTAAATTTACGAAGCCCTTCGTAAATTTACAGCAGACTTTGCACGTTTACGATTATTCTTCGTAAATTTACTAAGAACCTTCGTAAATGAACGACGAACTTCCGTTGATTTACAAAAGTTCCTGTAGGAAAGAAACTTTTACAGTGGACTTTTGGACATTCCCAAAAACCTTCGTAAAATATTCCGTCGTAAATTCACAACATAATTTTTACAGTGTATGATTGAAATGTTACAGATAAATGTATTAATGCGGTCGCAGTGACTTTAACAACCTATGTATTTGTGACAACTTCAAACGTTGTGGGATTAATAACTCTCTTTTTACATCGTAGTCTTTATGTTTGCAGGAATTTACCCGTGCCGCGTCTTTGCCTGACAACTTCTCCCTTATGCGAGTTTTAGAACTGCAACTTGCAAACAGGTACGTTAGAACAAGTTATGATGAAATCCGAGATGTACGAAAGAAGCGTGACAAAAACTGTTGCCTGGATCCACATACTGCACCCAGGGAACGATTAACTTGCATCGATGCTCGATTTTGTCTCACCTGACTTTTGATGATATTTGATTCGAATCAAACATTTTGTTCTCAAATTGAGCATTTTTCTCACGCCTTTTGTCTCATGGATGAGACAAATGTTTGCTCAGGTTTCGAGAGAACTGACACAAAACGCTTGCATGTGGCAAGGTTCGAACTCGGAACCTCTGACGTGGGGTGCAGTAGCCTTGCCCACTTCGCCACGAAGGTGGAACGACAAAGGAAAGTGACTGGGCGCGCGGCTTTATTAGTTTCACGATGTAGGCACTCCCCGCCACTCAACTCCACAGAAGGGCCGCCTTTGCGTGCCAAGCTGTCAACCCGTTCCATAGAGCAATGGACACGGTGCCCGCGCTTGACTCCGAAGGATCTGGGTTCGACTCTCAGCTGGATGGTTCATTTTTTTAATGGTGTCGAGCCTCCAAATTGATACCACTGTGTCCGAGATGCTCAGGCCGCGTTCCACGGCAAGCCTCGAGCCGCGGACCAGCTTCGAGTCCCGGCACCGCGGTAATTTTTTTCCCGTGTTTTGAGCGGCAATGGTGACTACATCAATCGTGTACCTCAATGCAACACGCGCCCGCCTCGTCGACAGCAATTCACGCCGGGAACAAGTTGCTTCTGCTAGGATTCGAAGCAAGTGCTTGTGTTATGTGCAGTGCGTGAGGCAGCACGTTTCGGCATGTCCGGCAGTCTTGCCCACCGAGGGCCCACGTTGGAAAGTCACAGGTCCCGGGTTCGATTCCGCCAGCCTTATCTTTTGCCAGTGCCCCTTCTCTCCCACCAAAAAAATTCGAAAAAAAGTGCTCCTCCTCCTTTTTGGAAATCTTGACACTCCCGTCCATTCTCTGGGTGGCTACGTGATTAATTTGCCAGAGAAAACTGGTGGCGCTTCGGTGGGAACCGAACCCGGGTTACTATCCAGGAGGGCTGGCACTTTACCACTGTGCTACGAGAGCAGTTGCTGCTCCGACGCGTTTGAGAGAGAGCCATGGACGCGCCGCTCTTCTTCAGTATGGCAGGCCCCAGCCAATCAGGGGCCGGGTTACCGTTCGAAGCAGTTCCCGCTCTGCTTGTCATTGGTCGAAGAGATCAGAAGTGCGCAGGCGCAGCAGAAACAAGAATGTTAGTCTCAGACTGAGAAAATGTTCATTTCTCACTACTTGATGCAAAGTGCAGCATTGTGCCGAGCAAAATTCAGAGACAAAAGTAGCAAGAAAACATTGCTGTCTGACGTCACATCACTGATGCTGGGTCTGAATCAAATTGATTAAAAACCTCTTGAGACAACGTAATTTTGTCTCGAACAGAGATAAATTTTGCATAGCAGGGAGACAGAGAACATACTTTTAACAATCACAACACCTGCATTGCCCAGCCGTGAGAAAAATTTTGTCTTGTGCTGATGCAATTTTTTTTGTAACAAGTAAATCATTCCCTGGGTGTGCTAATCCAAGCGTGGACCAAGTCCGCGCTCCCTTGTATTTGTGTACACGAGGCAGGAAAATAATGTCTTACGAGAAAATGTGAAAAAAATGCCTGCTCTAGTCTGTGCGCAGTAACTTTCATAATTTTGTGTTATTTCCTGGATTTGACCACTAGATCCGAGCCCTCTATTGTCCCCACCGCCCCGCCGCTGGAGCCTACGACCTCTGCAGCGACTCAAGAAGACGACTGGTGGTGCGTTGACTGCGAGACCGTGGCTGGGGCGCTGTGCAGGGAAAAGCATTTCGCGCTGCGTCTGGAAGCCGTGAAGCCCGGCAAGGAAGACAAAGCTCAGCAAGATGCAAGCAGCGTTACGGTATGGTGACTGAATGTTTGTGCTCTCCTTCGGTTTATCTGTCCAAAACCTTTGTTGGCCAACAATTAGTGATGGACTATAGGTTTAAGGCAAGGCATTCTGACCTGCCTAAATTTGCTACCGTGTGCACTGAAGATCCTTAGGGCAAACTTTTCCGCACACACCAATGAATATTGATTGTCGATTGAAGGATGAGAGTTTGTGTATTGCATTCAATGGTTTCTATGCATGTGAAGTTGCAACGATGTGGCAGGCAAAACAGCTGCGAGACGATTGGACCCGGGATTGGTGGTGCGTGGAGTGCCAAGCCGTTGCCAAAGACGTGTGCAGGGACGAGCACCTTGTCCTTCGCCACAAAGCCGCCCAGCTCCGCAGAGAGGAGGAAGTTGCAACTCGGCCGACGTCGAGCAAAAATGAGGTGGGCGGAAAACCAGGGATCCTTATCATTGGCTGAGCGATAGCGAAGCCTGTTACTCCAGTGCGGTTGAAAAGTTTTGTCTGTCTGTCTGTCTGTCTGTCTGTGTGTGTGTGTACACTACTCCTCCTGAACGGCTCGGCCGATCTGGCTGAGATTTTGCAGGCTTAGTAGGTATGTTCTTGGCTCGCCACACGCGAAATTTCACTGTCCTAGCTCAACTGGTTCAGTTTTTATAGCCGAAAAACACTTAAAAAACGGCGAAAAATCGAGTTTTCTGCAGGCAGATCACTTCTGTCGTGAAGAAAGGGGGGTCTGGGGGGCGGAGCCCCCCAGCCCCGACAAGTAAATAAGTTACGAGGGTCAAGATCGTGTTCTCTGTAGATGAAGCAACTCTATCTATATTTGAGGGGGGTCTGGGGGGCGGAGCCCCCCAGCATGCAACAAGTAACCGCCGACGGACAAGCCAATGCCTGCCAAAGGCAGGGCAGCGCCGCAGGCCAAGGTAGGTACGCCAGGCGCGGATTGGAGAAACAGGCCGCGAGACATCGCGAAGCCTGTTACGACAAGACGCTGTCTGGCGTAAACCTACCTTGTAAGACTTAACAAAACCCTGCTTTCATAACGTAAAGACACTGTTCGGTAAAGGCTATGGACTGGGCACGTGCACGTGTACTTCAAAATTCAAACACGAGAAGCTATAGAAAAATAACTTATCCTCCTCAAAAGAAATCATAACGAGACCTAACACTGTTTGAGGGAGGTATTTAACCCTTCAACTCCGATATTGTGCGAAGCTTTGTTTTGGAAAGCTTTAAAATTTACAGCTGAAAAGTGCTGAGAAACAAATAAATTCACAACCTTCTCCGAATTTTTGAAATATTGAAATGCCGTAAAATGGTCTACGTTTGCCATGTTGATAGGCTTTTGATGAAAATGCAGTCTCAGGCTCATACCCAAAATTTCGCCTCTTACATATTGTAGATAAGGCGCATTAATAGTGTCATAAATCGATTTATTCGTATAAATATGTTTTAAATCAGTAATTTTCTGACATTTTCATGCCACCAATCAATGTACCCGATTGTGAATGGGTTACAAACTGTCTATGTACTAGAGATGAGAGTGCAGTAGCTAAACAAAAAATACTTGTGGGATTTTGTTATAAAGAGTAAGACCTGAACAACGGGCGCTGGGCTGGGCGCGTAACTTACGATGTGCATGTTTCTACGCTTTGTACAGTTTTCATTAGAGTGATTAGAGCTAAGTCCATCGTGATTTGTTGCAGAACCTGGGCATCAAGAGGCGGTCGTCTCCATCCAGTGACAGCAGCAGACTCTCGATGAACTTAGAGAATTTACACCTCAAAGACAAGAAAACGTGCGAGGCGTGCAAGGAGCCCATCATTGGTGCGGTAAGATTATACCTTAATATTCATAAAGTGTATATTAAGTCCAACCTCGTATCCTAACCGAAACTAACGGGCTCGCGACGCTTCGCTCAGCAATGTACGAAAATTCTGTGCTTAATGCAAAAGTATGGCAATAATTATGGACAAAACGTCTATGGGCAAGCGTGTACCCTGACCTCACCACCGTTAATTGGCTGAGCGATAGCGAAGCCTGTTACTCCAGTGCGGTTGAAAAGTTTTTCCTGTCTGTCTGTCTGTGTGTCTGTGTGTGTGTGTACACTACTCCTCCTGAACGGCTCGGCCGATTTGGCTGAGATTTTGAAGGCTTATTAGATATGTTCTTGGCTCGGCACACGCGAAATTTCACCATCCTAGCTCAACTGGTTCAGTTTTTATGGCCGAAAAACACCTAAAAAACGGCGGAAAATCGAGTTTTCTGCAGGCAGATCGCCTCTGACGTTAAGGAAGGGGGGTCTGGGGGCGGAGCCCCCAGCCCCGACAAGTTAAAA